CTCTATGGAATCTGAATGACAAAAGGTATATTATAGAACTGTACAGGGTTTTTTTTTTTACAGTATAGTTTATCAGTTCCTCAGCATTTTTTTTACTGAGGTTGCACTCCTGCGCATATTTACCTGGGGTTCAGCCACACCGGTGAAGGTTTGCTGAACAAACAGGTCTAGGATTAACCTGTGAAGCTCTTTTGAAATCTGTGGAGTGATTTTTCTTTTCCTTTCTTTCATCTCGCAATCCAAGGTCACACGCCTATCGTTTTGCGGGTGTTTTTAAATAACCTGCTAGGTTATTTATTATTGTTCAGAAACGCTCAGAATAGGGGTGGACGTAACACCCAAAAAATCAACCCGAAGGGCACGTTTTTCCATAAGCAATACTGCAGATGGCTTTCTGCTTTCTAATACAGTATTCTCTTTTAATGTTCTGAGTGGGGAGGAAATGACACACATGGGGTGCAGAAGATCCTCTTTAGCTGTCGACTGCCAGCACCATTCCCTGGTTTCTGGAAGATGATGGGTGACCTTATCCTCCCCTGCCCTGCTCTGGGAGAGCCCTTCTTTCTGGGAGACCTCAGCAGCCTGTTTGTTCCCACCTAGAAAATCTGCTCAGGGCTTCCTAGAGGCACAGAACATATGGGCGTGAGTCAGAGAGAGAGGCCTCTTGTGTGGATCACAAAGCACGCACAGCATCTCGAGGCAACGAGGGGCACACAGAGTCAGCCTCTGAGGCACTCCCTCTCGGGACGCGATAACACAGTCTGTGCAGCAAATTTATCAGAGGGTCAAAAATTCTCTGCCTGCCAAATATACCCAAGCAAAGCGAAGCAGGTCTGAAATGCTAATCACATACAGTACACTGCAGTTCTGTGCACGAATTCTCAAACTGTATTTGGGGGGTAATGCAGGAAGAGGCTAAATCACAAGGATGGGCTATTCTTTCTGTGGACAAGGAAACACCAGCGGCTCTCCACAGACAAGGGGCTTTATGCCCTGGAAAGGAGAATTGAGGGGCAGCGTCGGAAAAAAAGAAAGGGAAGACGAATATCTGTGATTCGGCATTTAGCCGAATCATTTTCCAGCCTGCAGCACCGGGGTGGGGGAGGAAGGCCTTTCTTTCTAGAGTCTAGCTCATCTCTAATGTTAGGCCTAGAAACGGAGGATTCTCCGCTCAGCTGGCCTCCTCTCTGCCCCTGCAGAACGAAGTCGGGCCTGAGCGCTTGCCGCTTAGCAGAAGAGGCAAACAAGACGGGCCGATGGGCCCACTTCCCTTAGAAATGGCGGACGTGAAGACAGGGCTCTTCTGGCACAGAATCCCCAAGTAACAGCTGGCGCTGGTGCGAATACTAGTATGAAGACTAATAATAAATTTGGGGCGGGAATTCTAGCCTCAGCTTTTACTTGGATAAACATGGAGCGTCGGCTTCTGTGCTTCTATTTGTTTCATGACTGGCGAAGCACACTTTAGCTAAGGAGTGCTATGGATGGATGTCCATCCTCATTCAGTCCTTTGAAAGAAACCATCATCACACCTCTGTGTCTCAGGTCCTTGGAGGAACCCAGGTGGCCACTAAGGAGGCGGGGAAAGCTTTCAGGGCCCTTGGAGGTGTCCCTCAAGCATCCTCCAAGACCCCAATTCCACACAAGACAGTACGGGGAAGGAGAGATTACACACACTCAGCAAATCCAGAATTTCTACTGGAACCATCTTGCCAGTTGAGGATGGGAACAGGGATACTGGTTTCCATGAAGCTGTCCTGGTCTTGGAGAGCAACCAGAGGGCTGCTTTCTACGAGGAGGACAGGGTTGGTCTGGACTGTTTCAACTAGAAGCAGACAGGGAAGAAAGACAAAGAGGGGCAAAACAACAACAGACATGTGGCCACAGAACGAGGGAACAGACTTGCTACGGGTCTCTCTCCCTCCCTCTCTCTCTACAGGGGACTGAAAGGACTTCGGGCAGAGGAAACGAAAGGGGAAGTCCAACTAAGTGGGAAAGCGGCTACGGTCTCAACGGGTATAAAGCAGGCTGAAAACGGGGAAGTGTTGTTGAACCCGGGACCAAGAAGTGGCCTGGCAGCCCTTTCATACCTGCTGCTCAGTCTCCCGCTGGAGAAAAAGGAAACCGAGGAGATGCAGCATCGAGAAGGGAGTGTCAGGGTGAAAAGTTGCCTTGCCTAAAGGCCCACTTCCCCCTCCGCTTCTCCTTTATCCTTGTTCATGGCTGACCCAAACTCTAAGAAAGAGATGGGCTGCCATCGGACACCGTGGGGCTCTCAGGCCCAGGACATCCACCTACGCTGTGGCGTATGCCACGGGGCACAAAGTGTGAATACTTGAGTGGCAGAAAACCGATGGACTCAAGCTTGTGAATCTTAATGTGTTCCCTTGGAAAGAATTCCAACGACCTCAGTGCGCTTTACTTCCCGGCAGAATTCCCAGTTTCTTCCTTTTCTGATCACCTCTTCAAAAAGACAAAACTTTCAGCCTTCTATAATGGATAGAAAATGGGCTTTTGGACACTATCGGGTCGTGGTTAACTGATAGTGCCTCCGTTACTTAGCGGGCATCTGGGTGGGAAGTGGGAAGAAGCTAACACAGATTTCTTCTTACTTTGGGGGAAAAAATGCCAGCCTTCTTTCCATCTCCATACTTCAGTTTATCAGATATACTGGCGCCGTTTTGAAAGCAGAGTTACTTGCCACTCTGCGAATACATGTGTCGCTGTCTCTTTGCTAAATGTGATTTTCAACTGAGCTAGGATGTACAAAAATAAAAAATAAAAAAACACGAACAGGATGGATTTGATTTAACTTTTTAAAATGCATTTTTTGACAATTTAAAGCAAAAAAATCTGTTTTTTAAAAAAATATTTAAACCGTGATTTAAATCAATTTGATTTTTTTATAAAAATCCTTGATTTTTATCCACCTTGCCCATGATGCATTCAGGGGAGCAAACTGTGACTGACAAGGAATGGAAAGAGCAGGAAAGGAAAACCTGGTCTGGAAAATGACTGATGAATCAAAATGCAGTTGGAACCACCTTGTCCTTTTTGTGCAGAGAAACTGGTTTAAGCTGGGGAATACTGGGATCAGGAGCTGGAGGGACATTCATTCACCCTGTAAATGTTCAAACCAGCAGGGAAAAAAAACGTGAAAACGGCACCATCCCAACCCAAGAATATTAGTGTTGGAATTTCAGTTTTTGTGAGGGTGCAAGCAGTGACTTCTTACTCCTGAAAACTGATCGTTGTCAGATATCTTCATCTGAAATCATGGCTTGTGGCAGCCAAAGAGGCTTGAAGGGTAGACCCACTGCAGTAGGAAGGCAGGCAGACGAGGGAGTTCTTCGTACTACCGAAGCACCCCCTCCCCCCTCCACGGGAAGTCTCGCCTTCTCTACGGGAACAGATATTCTTAGTGCGAATGCAAATTTGGTGACATGTAAACGCATCAAAATGGCAAAATACAGCAGCCCGGTCATGGATATATATTTGACCTCAAGAAAAATCATGCCCGCCTTCCTTAACCTGGTGCTGTTGGGTGTGTTGGTATACTGCAAGTCCCATCATCCCCACCGATACACCCGCAATAGATCGGGAGAACTCCGAATGTTCGCCAGTCTACCTGGAAAGCTCCAAGTCAGGAAGGATGAGTCGGGGCACAGATACTGGGCGTTCAGCAGCTGAAAAGGCGAACTTACCCAGGAGGGCCGAATTGCCGTCCCCCAGCGGGAACCTCTGGTATCGAGGGACGTTAAAGGGTGGCAAAATGTGGAACTTCTTCTCCAGGAGCGGCTCTAAGCGCGAGGCAGAAGGGTCTGCTGGATGGAACAGATTGTAGACTTGCTGGCAGGCTGGCCTCAGCTGGAAGACTAGGCAGAAAAGGGTCGGGAGAAGAGAGAGGCCAGATATTCAGGCTGGAATCGTCTTTCCAAAGACACATCTCATGACCACACAGCTGACTCTTTACACCCGCCAGGCACAAACACTGGCCCTCAGATCCTCCAAAACATGACATGCAAGTAAGCTCGGTCCAATGTCACTGATCAACCGTTTCGTGCGCCGTCCTAAATTATTACCTAATAAATGTCTCTCTCTCTCTCTCTCTCTATCAGATCCTCCAAAACATGACATGGAAGTAAGCTCGGTCCAATGTCACTTGATCAACCATTTCGTGCGCTGTCCTAAATTATTACCTAATAAATGTGTCACACACACACACACACACACACACACACACCAGAGGTGAAGCCAGATCGCCTATCACTGAAGAGAAGACGAGACAAAGGACACTATGCCTGTAGTTTGAATGTAGCCCTACTCATTTATACCGATTTTCTACCAATTAAAAGTTGTGGTCAGCCAAGATGTTAGCCTTTTCAATTCGGGGTTAAGGTATGCTTTAAAAAAAAAATTAAGCACCGCAAATATTTATCTCATTTCCTCACCTGATTTATTGGAGTATTTTATGAGTTGCAAAGGCAGCAAGGGGCTTTAGAGAATGGACCTCACGGGGACCTAGCCAAGTGGCCGCTTTCTAATGGAGACCTGCTCCATGGTTTTCTTTCTGAGAACCCAGGCTTGGAAAGGAAACAAATAAGTTGGTCCACGTGGGCCTTGTTGTTCTAAGAACACAGCATTTGTCTATTTCATAACTGACACGCCCCAGATCTGCTTCTTTGCTCTCAAAACCCATTTTTTAAAAAAGCCAAGTCTCTCTTCTGCCTCTCCCCAGAACCTACTGTCCAGAGTCGGGACGACGGTTTTTCTCAAGGCAAGGACGAGCCCCAAAGGAGACCCAAACAGAAAGAAGTCAGCGATCTCGAATTCAAATTTCTTGATGTTTCCTCCATCCAGGGCAGCAAAGCTACTTGATCTCCTTGATCCTGGGCAGTTTCTCAGGGCGCTAGAGTGTAAACTAGAAAGAGGAAAGAGGCAGACAGTAAGCAACAACGAAAGGAAGCAAGACTCTGGCAGACAGACAGTCCGGAACACACATCATGCTGTGGTTCACAAATGCATGCAGTTCTTGCAGGAACCTCTGCATAACGAAGCAAACTACGCTGGAAGATGGTAGCTTCCATGCTGGATTGGGACCATGTAAGGCACTAGAAGAGGACTAATTACTAGCCAAGAGTGATTTTCTGCCAACCTTATCCTAAGCCAGAGACATCCATATCACAGGGATTCCACAACTGTTTCCAGATGCAAAACAACTCTTCAAAGCACCAGATAAAAATCAGAATTTTATGGGAAGTTCTTCTCCCCTCTGCTTGTTTTTTTATTTTTTATTTTTAAAGTCCTATTTGAATCCATAAGAACTTAACATCAAATATGACAGGCAAAGTGGCTGGACAGACTACAGTATAGAACAGATAAAAATGATGTCCCTCGTGGGCCAACTAGTTTTGGCAAAACAGTTATCATTGAACAAATTCTTAATTTTTCAGATTTAGATATTCTGCACAAAAGCAGATTTTTCTCTCCCCATCAATTTTGCTCCTTGCATTTCTGATTGAAAATGAAGTGTTAGTACATTTGGAAAGTCAGCAGAAAAACGATCTGGCAGCTAGTGGGTTCAGTATGACACAGCCCCCTTTAGTTCTTCCCGTAAAGTAAGGGGGGTGGGTGGGTAGCCCAGTCTTAGGAACGTTTTCCTAACCATTGTTGCCACTGTGTTCCAGCAGCCTTACTCTCAAGTAAACAATGCAAAGGGGGGGCAGCAGAAGGATTTCTTTTAACCCGAGTCCCCCAACAGTCTAGGTTTTTCTAAGTTACAGAAAGCTGAATGACGCTTACCTATTTCTTCCTCAAAGAAGGTGTTGGGACAAGTGTTAAGGGATTAAATAAAAGGGGGAAAACAAAAAGAAAGAAAACGAGAGAGAGGAAAGAGAAATTGAAATGGAAAGATGACAATTGGCAAGGAGGGAGTCTTGAATCTCTGCACGCTCTGCCTACCTTGTCCAGCAGCACAGCACGCAGATGGAAAGATTTAATACGCTCACAGGACGGGTAATATGACACGGCCTTTCACATTAGCAACCTGTACAGCCGTGTGTTGGGTTATACACTGTACGTCATGTGCATCCGGCCCACCTATCAAAGATGGAAGGCTACCCTTGTTCGAGGGACTGAAACCCAGGGACTGAAACACCCTGCAGTTCGTGACTCTGTGGAGCAATGGGAGAAATCAGCAGCCCAGCCACGGCCGGTGGGCAAAATGGGCGTGGGGCCCAGCCACGTGCCACAGGAGGCTGCCAGACCCACGACAGTCCCTGAAAGCAGAAGGAGAGGGACTGCTGCGTGTCAGAGCATCCTGGAAGACCCAGGAGCAACCCTCAATATCTCCGACCAAAGAGGTGAAACCTCGGTCTCTTTATGCTTCCTAGTCATGCCTGCAAAGCCCCGGCCAGCCTGTCTCCTGGCCCGGAAGCCCTTGGGGCCAATTCAGCTTCCTAGATACCTCCCCACCCTGGGATTTCCTGCACCAGGCCTCCCACGCAGCCACATTACATGTCTTCCTCAGCGCTGCCTTCCCCCACAAAAGGGCCGAACAAACAGCCCCTTCTCCTCTTTTTTTCTTTTTCTTTTGGACCACCAGTCCCCAAATCCTCTTGGCCACACCCTCTGAAGGATTCCAGGGGTTGCCGTTTCCAAAAAAGCATGGTTCCCAAGCCTGGCCAATGTCGGCCACACCCTCCAAAGGATTCCAGGGGTTGCCGTTTCCAGAAAAGCATGGTTCCCAAGCCTGGCCAATGGCTGCGGGCGGAAGCCTCATCCTGTCTTTACCCCCCCCCCCAGAGAACGCTCCGAGGCCACCACCAGCCACTCCGGCGGCCGCTCTGCTTCTGCCTCTGGGGACCTACCTGGAGAGGAAGGCCTGGTGCTGGCTGAGGGTGTCCAGCTCGTAGGTGGAAGAGTCGCTCCTCTTCCGGGGCGGCGGCTTCTTGGCCTCCTCCCCATTGATGCTGCTGCCGCCGCCGCCGCTGCTGCTGCTGTGCGGGAGGTCGACGTTGCTGCGGCTGAGGTGCCGGCTGGCTTCCAGGCCCGAGGAGCCCCCAGAGCAGTAGCTGTTGTTCACAAGGATTCCAGGAGACAAGAGGTCAGTGTCCTGGAATTTGAAGGGCACAAAGGCCTAGGCGTCAGACCCCGGGCAACGGGCAATCCTAGTGACATGCTGTGCCAAAGCGAAGACAGACCCCACAGAAGAGTCCTGCAAGTGGCCGGAGGGCAGGCTCTGGCCCCCACGCGAAGCATCCAGCCGCCGTTCCTCTTGTTGCGTCCGTCTACTGCAATAACCGGCCTCAAAGGGTACAAAATGACACGTCCTTCTACCAGGGAGCTTATAAAAGTTAGCTGGGGGTTTCTGGGAGTTGCAGAAAGGTGGCATGTACTTACAATACATGTCATGGATCGTGGAGTGCGCCCCAAAGGCTTGGGAGTTTGGGGGGATGTATTAGAAGGAAGTGGGTATCCCGTGGGTGTTATAAGATGCCGCCTCTGGCCTATGGGGGGGGTGTCCTCGGAAAGGAGGGAGTTGTTTAAGAGGGCAGGAAGGCTTTGTGAAACTGGACAAGTGAGACATTGCAGGGGGTGGAGAGGAGAGGCAACTGAGGAATGGACAGACCAGCAGGGAAACTGCTAGTAGGAGGCGGGTGGCACAAAGTGTGCAGTGAGGGGGCTCCAGAGGGAGGCCTGCATTTTTCTGATGCTAAAAATCATTGAGGGGGTCGTGACCAACAACGGCGGGTCGACAAAGCCTTTCATGTTCATGGTGGAACTGCAGGACTATGGCTTTGGACCGGCAGGTACTGTAGATGTGACATGCACTGGATAATGTCTTAGGGATAAAAGCAAGGCCTCTCATCTCAGAACAAGGACAGCCTGCCTGACCCGTCAGAGAGACTGAAGCGTCCTTGAACGGGCCGTGTGGGTGTCCTCCCACGGTTTCTAGACGTACTACTCTGGAGGGAGCAGCCTCTTCCCTGGCCTTCTGAGAACAGGTTCCCTGCGTGTGTTTACCTGCACACTGATGACGCTCCCCCGGCGGCTGCTGTCCTGGCTTTCCGACAGGTTCTGACTGCTGTAGCACAAAGCGTCAAAGCCCAGGATCCCTCCAACACAGTCCCCAACCAAACACACCTGTGCACGGGGGGTTGGGGGGAAGAGACAAAACCCCTTTAGGGTCTCTTTTCAAGGAGCACCAAAACAAGCAAAGCATCCCGAGGCCTAGGTAGGATATAGGGCTATGATGTCCAGAATTTAACATTTTTGCCCGGTTTCTGAGGTGGTGATTTTTTTTATATGGTAATTATTTTGAAAGAAAACAAATCCTAATGCCATGCACTGCATTCTCCAGACACAAGATCACTTAGGCTGAAATATGATCTGTGTGCATGCACATATGATCTTTATATATTTATTAAAGTATTTTTCCTTTAGAAAGACAGTTTTATTCATGTCCGGATGCATCCAAATGTAACCAGTTGGTTAATCGACTAAAATCGATGATCTACCAATCAAGAGTTATTTACGACTTATGGCCTATGTCTTATCGAACTATCTCCCTAAGTATATCAACTTGTGTTTTGGTCAATTTCAACAAGACACGGTGTGGGAAGCAGGAGGCGTTCCGCCTGCCGGATGGCTCCTCTCCACCCAGCCCAGGCAGGTTGCTCTCACCTGGCCATTGAAGGATGTGCCTTCCTGGGACTTGATGAACTCACTGTACACCTGATTGGCTCTCAGGATCACCGTGGCGACCGCCTCCTGGTACTGTGGGGAGGATGTAGCCAGCAGAGGAAGGGCTGCGAGCGGAATATGATCCTGGCTGTTGGAAAGGCAGCCTTCATCGTAACTGTAAGGGCTGAGGCTGCAGAGCAGAGAGAAAAGGGGAAGGGATTTCCGACTCTGGAGAAAGAAGGACCTCAGAAGGATACGTGACAATGTGATTTCAGGTTCCCCAGCGAGAGATACCCTGCGGCTGCCCCATGTGTGAGGCTCTGATCACTTTCCGTCACCTCCCTCTCACCCTCTATCTCCCTCTAGGGAGGCAGAAAAGATCATTTGTAGGAAAAAGACCTGAGGTGTTAGGAAGAACCCCATGTTCTCTGCGATAGCACCCCAACCTGGGAACGCTCTACCAAGGAGAGATATTCACCACAAACCTTGCTCTTTCAGTGCCCCGTCAAAACGTTATCTTAACCCAGACATTTCATAAACAGATTGATTTCCCTGTTTGCTGGGGGAATGGTTTCGATGGCCTCTTGTTTCTGGAAACATTATTGTTGGTTGGACTGGATCTGTTCTTCTATAAAGAGACAGTGCGGTGTCCCGGAATACCACTCGGGAGAGACGGGTTCAAATCCCTACTGGGACATATAAGTTCACGGCAGACAGGGTGGTGCTGGTAAAACTTACTCCTTAAATTATTCTCATCTATCTTAGAAAACCTTACTCGGGTCACTATCTTACAATATGTTGAAATTAAACTGACAGCAGATAACATGCGTATGCTTCTATAACAATACAGTATGCATACCACCGCAGGATGATCTGTTTACCAGGCTTATGAATTTTTGTAAAGTGCGTGCGTGCACACACACACACACACACTTCAAAAAGATGCTCAGTTTAAAAGTCAAAGCAGTTCAGAAAATCTGCCATGTTTTCTGCATACACCTGCTTCCTGGAAAGCACTCCAGCATCTTTTGAACGTTCACGCAGGATACTGGAAGAACCACAGGGTGGTATAAAAGATGCAATCCTGAGTCCAGATTCCTTCTAAGCTCCGGAAACCCCTCGGCTAACCTGCTCTCCACCAGCTTAAACTGCCTTATCAAGTGGTGGTGAAGCATAATTTGAAACAGCAATAATCTTTCCTGCTAGGGGCTTCTTAAAGGAGGCAGGAGCTAATAATCTGAACTATTAACTACGTATTACTCAACCTTAGATCTCCCTGCGCATATCATGTAGGCACTGTGAGATTAAACTTTTTTAACACAGGTATAAATATCTGGGGGAAACTCAAGGAAATCTGGATCTCTCCCTCTCTCTCTCTCTGAGCCTTGTGGCAAAGTGGTTAAACTGTAGTATTGCAGCCAAAACTCTGCCCACAACCTGGGTTCAATCCTAGATAGCCGGTCAAAGTTGACTCAGCCTTCCGTGGTTGGTAAAATGAATACCCATCTCTCTGGAAGGACAGTGTGTCACCTACATAATTAACTTGTAAACTACCCAGACAGTGCTGTACCCATCTCTCTGGAAGGACAATGTGTCACCTACATAATTAACTCATATATAAAACATCCGTCCCTGGATATTACAAAACACGGATCTTTTTCTCAAACTCTGCTATGGTACGGGGGCATAAGGGCCTCAGCCCCTGCATCTAGAACATGGTTAAGCATACCTCCCCCCGGGCCATGTTACATATAAAACATCCGTCCCTGGGTATGACAAAACACGGATCTTTTTCTCAAGCTCTGCTAGGGTACAGGGGCATACGGGCCTCAGCCCCTGCATCTAGAACATGGTATATGGAACCAGACTTTGCATGACGTATTGGATTGAGGGTGCTTATCAGTTTAGACATCCCATCCTCTCTACCCGTCACGGTTCATAAGAACCGACGGTCTCTTGTCTTGCCATATATCCATCCAGACGGAAAATCCCAAGCAGACGTGACTCTAATAATGAATCACTCTTAAGAAGCCGATAATGGGTAAAACCTCTTCTAAGTCCTGAAGCAAATCAGAAAAGATGTCCCTCACTGTGCAGATGAGCCTTCCGACAGCTCACCCCGGCTGACTCAAGATTACACATAAATTGTCTATTTATATACAGCTGGCGCCAACAGGACAGGAGAAGTTATAGACCAATCCGTTCAGCATTTTGGCAGCTAAAGGAAATCACAAAGTGCTCAAGGATGATTTTTCTGTCTCATACCTGGAGTCCCAGGATGAGGGTTATTATACAAAGGCCTCTCGCTTGCAGTGTAACTTTACAAAGCCATGTTTTAAGCTTTTATTTCATTAGTCAGAACAAATCAATCATGGCTCTCAAACTGCAATGCCATTACATTCATTACAGCCAGGTATGAGCTTGAGACAGGATGGCAGGACCAATAATTAATAAAGTGCCCTCTTGATGCAGACGGAGAAGAAGCCCACCCAGGCTCTCATCGTTTAGACACTCTGCTTTATAACGAGAAAAAAACCCTGTTTCCGTCATGGATTCAGCCTCTACGGTAAAGATTGAGAGCCTGTTTCCTCTACATTCTGGACTGAGACGCTATTATCCAGAGGGATAGCTCAGGAGGAGAATGCAATGTTGACAGCGTGACTTGGAAAACTTTACATGACCGTCAAGGAAGAAAACATAAGCCACAGGGACAAAGAATCCCAGGTAGTTGTTTCAGCAAGCTTCGCTCCCTTGCTGGCTAACACTTAGACACAGAAAATAACTTGAAAGAGAACTGTAGAAGGTTTCAGATACATAGCAAACACACCTACAAAATCTTTTTGACAAAGATAAAAGACAAGAGGCAGAGAGATCAGCAGATAAAACAGAAGGAGAAAAGGGAGGTCGCGAGAGCTTTGTTAAATCTTGGTGTGGGTGAGCCCACAATATGGACAAAGTTCTAGAGGAGACTCAGAGGAAACAACAAGGCTGTGGCACCATTTCAAAATTTTAAAACAATGAATAAAATGAAAAACGAAGAGCAGGCAGAAACATTGTCTAGACTAGAAGCAGGCCCTTCAGAACTCTGGACAGGTCCCAAAGAAGACACGACTACGTATTCCCTCTAGTGCCTGGCGCTAACTTGGATCTTCCGTCATTTCTGAACTTCAGATGTTACCAGTCTTAGACCCCATCCTAAGGCCAGAAAATGGAGATTCCCAAAGGGACAGACTTAGGGTCTGGCAGCTGGCATGCCTTGGCCCTGCTATTCTCTCTCCCCAAGCCTGCTGCCTGCTTGCATCTGTCATCAAGCTGAGCGTGTGAAGCTCTGGAGATTAGGGAGCCGTCCCTTGGCAAGGCTCTGTTCAGGGGCCTCTGGCTTAATGTTTCTTGGCTCCGAGGGCCCCCGGCTTCCTCTTGCTGAAAACCAAGCTGCCAACTTACTTGGAAACAAGCGAAAAGGCTTCAGAGCAGATGGCTGGACAAGGAACGAGCTTGATGGCGATGCGTCCAAGAGCGGCCGGGTAATGGACCCTGATGACGGTATCAAAGGCGGTGGTGATGGTGTTGACGTCCCCTTGCTTAGAGCTCTGGTCGCCCCCTCCTGTGTCCAGGATGTTGCCCCCGTGCAAAATCAAAAGCAGGACATGGATTTTGCTTGGCTGAACCAGAGGAGGGACAACTTCATCCTGAAACAGGCGGAGGAGGGAAAAAGCAACGAGACTGAGCTTTAGACGACATTACATTTGAATACCGTCTCTGTTTAATTCCTTTTTACCTACTAGAATCGTTGACTGCTTTTAGCTCTCGTGATCGTGTTTTTAATGGCGTACCCTGCCTTGGGTCCTTTTTTTTCAGGAGAAAGTTAGGATATAAATGTTTTAAATAACACAAATGCTAAAGCTGATGTCCAATAAAACTAGCCATCCTTTAAAGTGACACAAGAGTCCCCAAGGATTTTTGCTGCAAAACTGGCACGGCTACCCCCACCCAAAATGAAGAGCGGACACAAATGTCCTGAGTTACTGCCCACTTCATCAAACACAATCCCAAAAAGCTTTTCTCCACCCCCACCCCCCCAATTAAAACTTCTTATGTCTTTAAGGTGAAACGAGAATTCTTTGTCATTCTTGCTGTAACAAACTTAGACAATTACTCCTCTGGAAAGATGAGCTGCATGTGGTTCTGAAACTAAAAGCCCTTATTGCAGCAGAACAACAATCCCTGGACATGTACAAACCATCTGGAATATTTCAAACCATACAGTGTTAGGCATACACTTGGGGTGTTTTAATGCTAAGGTTCTCTCTATTCCAGCCGTGGCAGAATCCAGTAGCTTCCACAGGAGAAGCCTGGACACTATAAATGGCTGTATTTGTGTTATGTGAGAAGATGACATATAAACAAAAAGGATAAGCTGGAGCAGTTACAATAAAAGGCCGAATACTTTCCTGGAGACTTTTCAATATTTGATGGTTTTCGTGTTCTGTTTGATGCATTTGTATCTTACTTGTATACTGCGCTTCTATGTGTTTATTCTCCTTACAATTAAGCATAAGTGCAGTGATGTTAAAATGACTCTCTGGCAGCATGAAGTTATTGCTAACGGGAGGAAGAGACAGAGCATGAACCCAGCAAGTACAACCCCCCACACACACACTAAAGTTGAAAGATTACAACTTTTTTAACGTTATCAAGGCCAGCAGCGTTTGGGTTTCTCAGAGGTCAGTGGCCTGAAGAGTCAGGGAGGAAAATGACTTCTCTGCACTGAGGATTATTTCAAAAATTCATCATGACTCACGACAGAGAAATCTTGAGCTAGGGGACAAAACAGGGCAGCAAAGAAAGTGGATCGTTGCGCTTCAGGCTTGCTGGACTTTGGTGTCCTCCCTGATTCCACTTTGAGCCCAGCACTGATTCCAGATCTGGTACACCCCAAAAGTTCCGGGACAAAGACATCTGTTTTCCCCCCTCTTTTCATTGAATACATTCCTAACAGTTTCCCTTGCCAACGCTCTGAGAGACAGGTTGCAAGCAGACACCGATCTTCTCAGAATGTAACTGAGATGGCAAATAAGGTACCCCAGAATGGAGAAAGGTCCGTTTGACTCTTTGCTCTTCAAATAAAACTGAGCTGAGCATTTGGTCGCGCTGTGGCTACAACAAATCCGGTCAGGTCCCCAGAGAACGGGATGAAGGTGTGTTCAGGAGTCATTGTCTGGCTGCAGGCATCAACTAGGCCCTGGGCCTCCTTGGCAAACCACAGCGGCAAGGAAGCAGGGGATGAAATATTTATTTCCGAAGGGACAGAAAACGGACATTGCTCACGTATAAGTTTGTTTTAACAATGTACCGGCAAAGAGAATGTACCAGTGAGGCTGTACCTCTATTATGCTGAGTCTTTCCACGCTGCATCCGACACGGAATTCTGCTGCTGATTCAAAACATGGGTCCTCTAGAAGGAAAAACACTGGTCAGAGGAGCTGGGTCTCTCTGCTCCAAAAGACTAGAGAGATTCCACTGGTTCTCAATGTTTAATATGCAAAGGAGGGATAAGGGACCTCAGAGGGCCCAGGGCAAATTTCAAAGGGCCTGCACTCTGTTTTACAGCAAAAGTGCAACTCCTGGAGACTTTCAGGAAGAGAAACAGAACTTTTAGAAAAACATGTGCTCTCCTCCAAGGACAATATATATATATATTATCTAGGAGAGAGACTGAGAGCCCTAATGCAGATAGATCATGGGAAGCATTTTGCCCATCTCTGGCATACCAAGAACGGCTGCAACTGAAATGAGAATTCTGGTCGTTATGGCTCAAACGCAAGCAAAGCGGCAAGGAAGCTGCCAGAGAAACATGTGCCAGCTGCCTTGCGAGGCTTGCAGAAGGGAAGGGAATCCCGTTAGACTCCGTCAAGGAGACAGAAGCTCCTTGTGAGGAAGCTCAAGGAAACTGACATTAGACTGAAGGTCAGCTCTCCCCTGTAGCAGACTTCTGAGAAAATGCTTACTACCTCTTATCTACAAAGACGTCACCATTCAAGAGCAAAACTATACAATATTCTCAGCAGTGACCTCTTCCACAAATAACATACCGGGCACTTCCTCAGGTTCAGGACTTTCAATCTTATCCATCAGATCGTTTGAGCTCCACTTGGTGATTTCTTTCGGAAACACCTCTTCATTCTCAGACAGGTCCTCTTTGAAGCAAGAAAAGGAGAGAGACAATGATGTGCATAAATACAGTACAGGTGCCAAGAAGCTTTTGTTAACTATGCACCATTTCCTGACCACCAGGAGCTAGCAGGTCAAAACATGAAACACGGGTGCTTAGAAAACCCACAGCAGTTCTTAAGAGGGTGGTCAGGCCGGGGAATCGGAGCCTTAGAAAGGCAAAGCAAGCCAAAAAAAAAAGGCTGATCTCATTCAAGAGAAAGTACTGCACCAGCGGAGGGGAGCGGGGGGGGGGAGAGTCTGTATTGACATAGCAAAATCTTAACTGTAGTTAAGGGCCTTTCCAGGTACCAGTGGGGAGGGGGAAGGGATGCATCTCTGCAAACTTACTCCTTAATCACAGTATAAACCAAGAGCTGACCTTGAAAAAAATGTCTGCTGGGGGATTGTAGAAACAGCAGTCCGGAAAGCAACTTTTTCAGCAGGGAAGAGACGTACCTCTGCAGACATGGCGAGGTGCAATGGCCGTCAGTCCTAACCGGCATGGCCGCAGGAGGAGGAGGAGGAGGAGGAGGAGAGAAAGCAACTTTTTCAGCAGGGAGAGACGTACCTCTGCAGACATGGAGAGGTGCAATGGCTGTCAGTCCTAACCAGCATAGCCGCAGGAGGAGGAGGAGGAGGAGAGGTGTAGTCAAACAACACTTGGAGCACCATACCTTCTCCATCCCTACGGGAAGCGCATCATGGGTACTGTTCCTCCTACGTTCTGACATCATCTCTCCCTAGATCTTTACAGTACTATGTTGGGGTTGGTTTGGGATTCAAGAACAGCACCAAACTCCAGGAAATGCAATGGAAGAGACAAAGTCCGGGCTACCACCTATGTTATCCAATGCCCTGGGAGGCAACTCAAAAGTTATAAAGGAACCATTTATAGAAATTACTTGCTGGCAAGCGTTCTGCCAACTCCTGCGACGTTGCCGGAACCAGTTGTATTGGCTCTTGCCTGTCCATTGGACCATTTCAGCAACGTGGAGAGGGGGGATTTGCTGCTTGGGTAACAGCCTATCCTCCATACTACTTTACCCAGGCTTCATGCTCTGGAGAGGACACTTCTCGATACAGAGCAAGTTACCATAGTCTCTCGAGACTGAAGGATACCTATGAAGCATAAGAGCCCAGCACAGCAGACCTCTGAAGGAAACACACCCTAGTAAGATGCATTGGCGGTAGTGGCAAGAGATATGCAGGGTTCCGACTTCTTCCTTTTATCAGGAAGGTGCTTAAGTTGTTTAAAGCAACAGTTTATCTGGGAGCAGAGCAACGCTTCACTAGGCTGGTTTAGCCTCACCACGGCCTGCCTAGCTGACCCCGAATGGATGCAACACAGAGCTTGCAGACCAGATGTCTCTGGAAGACAATTCTCAGGTGCCAGAAGGGCTTATACGACCCTCCCACCATGCTGGTAGGAGGATTCTGGGAGTTACAGTCCAAAAACAGAAACAAAACAAATCCAAACCCAACTTTTTCAAGCTCTCTTTTACTTGCCTACGAAGCCAGCTAGCTTCTCCCGGGGCTTTCCCATTCACCCTGCTGCGCCTGACGCCGCAACAGGTTACCCGAACGTGCAGTGAATTTCTGCAACAGATTCTGGGGAAGACTTGGGAAGCGGCCACGGTGGGTGGACTCACACAAGCCATGGAGCCTAAGCCATCATTCCCAAGGACCGAGAGATGTCCTGCCCCTCTCTGCTTTCTTTACATTCTGGCAGAAACCAGAAGATATGACACTCTTCTATTGATTGCCGCTTGGACAAAGAGCTTCCGCAGGAGATGAACCTGCTTAGAGGACCCTCGCTTTCCATCTACACAATTTCCAAGGAGGGTGGGGCATCCTTACAGCACTAATTAAGAATGCATATTTTACTCCACAATTAATTAATGCTTCACTCCAGTTAATCCAATAATGTTTCTGCCCACTGCTCAATGCATCTGCTAAGTGGGGGTATATGTGAGAGAGGCCACATATCGGTAAATCCAGAAAGAAGGGGGGGGAAGGGGGTTGCATTCCAAGCTTGCCCTTGCTACTTAATCTAAATATTGACCCCTTTTACTCAGGCGGCTTAATTACAGGTTTCACCGCTGCCTGCTACAATCATTGAATAGGTTCCTGTTCTCATTATTTGCCATTTTTATAGTACAGGTTGCTGTTATTAACAATTCCGTTTGCCTAGCTTTATCAGCAAATGAGAAAATGTGGGAAGGCTTGGAAGATTAGAAAAATAAATCTAGACCCAGATCCCTTTGTAATGTGGTTAAAACCATCCATATCACTCTTAACATGAACAGCTGGGACGTGGCTGGTAAAGTATTACTTGTTACGTGCTCTCTTATTTTTGCAAAGGAGCTCAAAGGCACACACGTAGTGGGCCTTTCCATGCGGTGGACAAAAGACTGCCAATGAGGATCCTCTGCGTCCGATAATGACAGCCAGGGGCGAATTTTGATGAATGCCACTTCTCTAAATTGCAGAATACGGTGGTGTGAGAAGCTGCAAGGCCTTGGAACTCCTCCTTTCAGATCATGGTTAGGGTTCTGATGGGATGCAAAAAAATTTGCAATCCTACCGTCCTTGCTTGGCACCAAATGCAGTGAGGCTTGTCTCAAGTTAATGCACATGGAATCAGTCTTTTAAAACTATTATGCATTTGTTTTTACACACAAAAGTATTTCAGAGAAGCAAAATAAGAGATTCACTATGTGTCACTGCAATGCTGCATCAAGCAGGCTAAGACCTATGATTTAGCTGAAATTTCTGGATGTTTTCCAGGTTGGTTAGAACTCAGTATATTCCTTTGTACATACAGATTATACCTATCCAAATGGTTTAGTGAGGGAGTTCAGCCTTTAAGATAATTGCATGCCTATGAAACAACATTTGTTAGCAAGGATATGCAAACCTCAGAAGAGGTGAGACACTTCAACAGAAAATTTGCTTCAGTGGGACTAGTTCAAGCAAACTTCCTTCTGGTTGTGACTTAAAACATCTGAATGACAATGGTTTGAAAACAGAGTTTCCATTCTTTCAGTAATTCTTCACAGCATTCGAAGGTAAACAGTCCTGTCTACCTTAGAACAAAGTACAGAGAGATCTCACAAAGAAGATGAGTAGAGGACATACGAACATCAGAATAGCCCTGTTAGATTAAATCACATAGGACAGGAAGATGGGAAGGTTTTTTGAGAAACATCCTGTACCCATCTTGTTAATGGGCAGAGAGACTACCAGTTCCTTAATCCCTTGAAGCTCCCATGGAATTTAGTCCCTTCCCAGCCACTTTCTCTTTCTTCCTCAAATGGAGCCTTCTTCTCCACTTGTGATTCATTAAAAACTCATGAGAGGACTTTAAAAGCACCCATAATTCTGAGTGGAGAAATTCTTGCAGAATTCTAGGGGCTGAAGTCGAACAAAATATGCAAGTCCCATGCCTAATCCAGATATAGATGATATAGATATAGCCATTTGACCATCATGGCCTATGGACAAGGGGATATACATTTTGCTTTGCTTTTTCTTAGTCAGGCACCAAAACAATCCCACCTTTGCATTCCCAAAGATGCCTGAACAAATTTGAAAAGGGCCCACACAGAGCAAACATGCAGCTTGGGGGATTGAATGAGGAGAAGTCTGGACATTTCCATCACGGATCCACCATCTAGTCAATAGGTCCAGTTTAATGTGAGTAAAAAGAAACACAGCTCCTCTCACACACAAATAAGCAGAGGCAAAGCTATATTTACAAGTCTGCCCTGCATGCAAAGATAGACACCAACACCAGAATACAGGTTCCCACCCACCTTAACCCCAAGGCTGCTCCAGTTTAATGTGAGTAAAAAAAAAACACAGCTCCTCTCACACACAAATATGCAGAGGCAAAGCTATATTCACAAGTCTGCCATGCATGCAAAGATAGACACTGACACCAGAATATAGGTTCCCACCCACCTTAACCCCAAGGCTGTGCTTTCTGGAGTCCACCTACCGTGTGCATCGAAGAACTCATCATCCGAGCTCTCATCTGAATCTCTGGCAATGCTCTGCATTCTCCACTCCGATATGCTATGGCGTGAGGGGCTTGCTAGGAGAAACAGAACCGAGGTATACAATCAGTTAGACTCTAGGCTTTAACCCTTTGGCAGCCAAGGCAAGCCTCTTCTGCCCTTCCCAGCAGAGACATACAGTAGCCGGATGGTTCTGATGGAAAGCTACCCTGTAACTGCCAGGACACAGCAAGCCGCGCGCTGCCACTGTGATGTCAAACTTTCCTTCTCCAAGTTGTTGTTTATGGTTCTTTATAACCCAGTGCCAAGATGCCACACGCACGGCGTTCTGCAAGCCTTTGTCGCTATTTTTCAAAGGGCAGCTATTTATAAGCATGGGGAGGATGTGTAAAATCGTTTTGGTTTAGAAAAGGAAGCTGCCTGACTGTAAACATTCCTCTCCAAAAAAAAATCACAGGGACAGTTCTGAAAAAAACCCGCTTTTATTGGGAAGAACCAGAGTTCACAATGGGATCTGCAAGCTTTCAGTTCTCACAGAACTCTTCTCGAGATTGGATATGGCAGAACAGAAGGGAAGTAAAAGCAAAGGGAGAGGAAAAGGCTATTTCTGAGAGAAGGACATGGTGTCACCTACAGAAAGTGTCCTGTACATTAATTATTTTCAAGTCAAACGGTTAAGACAGGACATTATGGCTTCCTGTAGTAGCTTGTCTACAAACCAAGTTGTTTGTCTACAGTGATCACGTTCCAGGTGGAGCAGCTTCCTGTGTGTGCAATTCCAGTGGCAAAAAAAAAAAAAAAAAGGAAAAAAGAAGGGACCTCTCCCTCCAGTGAGACACAGAACGGATGAACCAACAAACCAATGAGACACACAGGAGCGGTCCATTGTTAGGCACTATGTATTGTCCATGGAAGGATGATGCACTCAATGTTCAGTGCCAGCTCCGGAATTTTGGGAACCCTCAGAACCCAGGGAAGGCATCCCTAGTGGTAGAAGAAGGGGGGGGGTACACAAATGAAAAATCCCTCTCCCGCTGCCTTTGGCCTTCTTGCAAAACAGGAGCAAAACTGCACATTGCATTCCACGGTGCATTTCTTTCCCACCGCCAATAAATTAGTCAGCCAGTTGTTCTCCTGGACAGCAACCTGGGATGTTGCAATCCAGAACCAAGCACGGGGGGAGATGGGGGGGGCGGGCACGTTACAAGCAGCTTAATGGTTTGCCTTCCTCAGCTTTTCGGATCAAAACTGTCTCCAAGGGAATGGCACGCCATTTCCCCTGCAGGCAAGGAAACCGCTTGGGCGTGGCGATCTTGAACTGAAAAGAACAATATCCCCCGAACCGGCAGAAACATGCACTGCTGGCTAAGCCCTAAAGAGGTTGGAGCTGCAGAAGGAGTGGACTCTTCCATTACCGAAACACAGCCGGGAGAACTTCATTTTTAGACGACACCTCCAGTGTCTGCTCCCCAAATCTGGCTGAGCTCACCCTTCCACAAAGTCCCACTCCTCTTATGGGGCTTCCCTGTTTCGTTAACTTCACTTGGATGAAAGCTGGGGACAGGGAGCATGCCGAAGAATCCACACTAAAGGCTCACAGCTACCGTTAATTTAATAAAAGGCTGCACAGGCTTATTAAATTCCCTTGGAGCCACCCAGAAGCCATCCAGGGGCTGGTGTTAAATGACACGAGGGGCATAAAACCTCATTTATTATTGAGACACACCAGAAGGAAGCCGAAAGTGCCGGACAATGGCTTTTGGATTCCCATTTTATTAATAGGCCTGTGGAAAGGCCACTGTCCCCCCCCCACCCTCCCGCAAAGCTAATTATGGCAGCAGAATTCACTTTGTAGCTCCTAACTATCCCATCCTAGCCCACTTTGTAGCTTCTAACTATCCCATCCTAGCCCTTGGGGAATAAGAAAACAGAGAGACTGACAACGCACGGCTAAACCACACTAGACTGACGTCAAGAGCTTTCGCATAATAGCTTCTAAAAATAGACTGGATACTAATAGAGGCAGGCTTTCAATGGGGGGTCTCCGCTTACACTGGGGTCTCGCTCAGACAGAAGAGGAGGGACCACAGCCCTACGGGGGGGGGAGAGGCAGAAGAGCCGCTTTCCCATCCAAACCAGCAGAAAACCCTGAGCTGCTCTCTCAGGGCGACCATGCCGTGCCAACAGGCAGCCGCCGGCTTCTCAGCCAGCTTGGAAGATTTAAAAAGCTCTGTGGCCCGACGCTTCCTTCTCAGAAATCGCTTCTCTCCCACAAGCCAGATCCGGGCCAGAACCCTATCGAGAGTCCCAGTTATTAAGCCGTATTAGAAGAGGGAGCCGAGCAGGTCTGTGCAAGGACATCAGGAGAAATCCAAAGAAACGAAACAAGGCAAAGACAAACACAGGTGGAACCTTCAATACTATTATATTTCAATAGTTTAATTATTAAGCAGAGGCACTGAACGAATTGCTGAACACACACGTAAACCCAGTTCAGCCAACGGGTCAACTCTTGGTGGGACTACCCGTTTCCCCGAAAAGAAGCCCTAACCTGAAAATAAGCCCTAGTATGATTTTTCAGGATGCTCGTCATATAAGCCCTACCCCAAAAATAAGCCCCAGTTAAGTGAAACCCTGCCCTCTACCCTTGTGCAGCAACCAGAAGAAGAGGACATTGACTGTATTTGAATAAATGCAGATTGTTGTTGTGCACGGAAAAATAATCCCCTAAAAATAAGCCCTACTGTGGTTTTTAGAGCAAAAATTAATATAAGACCCTGTCTTATTTTCAGGGAAAAACATGGTAGTAATACGACGGAAGGCTGATGGATAAATTCAAGATGCCTGCGGTACAGCTTTGTCAAGAGTGGAATACATATGGAGTGGCTGTAGGTGATTTCCAGGTGTTGAAACATGCGTATTAACCTTCATACAATATTCCACCCAACTTTTTAATATAATTATGGGGAAGTCTCCTGTGTGCCTAGTAAACCAGTGTTACTCCAATTGGATGAGAGCGACTCCTTTCACCTTCGTTCTCCCTCGGCTCCTCCCACATATTCAAGGATGAGCTTTAAATGTGTAAAGATCCTGCCACGCAGCTGCATACAAGCAGCCTGATGCATGCAAGGGTTTGTGGACTGGAGACCCTGACGTTATACTAGCCTTCACAAGGGGCATCTCTGATTGACTGATTGATTGACCGAAACTAATTTTACTGAGCTTTAAATGTGTAAAGGTCCTGCCACGCAGCTACGTACAAGCAGCCTGATGCGTGCAAGGGTTTGTGGACTGGAGACATTGACGTTATACTAGCCTTCACACGGGGCATCTCTGATTGACTGACTGATTGATTGACCGAAACTAATTTTATTTTATTTGCCACAAGATCCTTTGCAGGTTTTGCTGCAACCGACTAACGCTCTTTGTCTCTCCCTTCCTCTAGAGCAATGCTTCCCAGTCTTGGGTTCTCAGGTATTGCCGGACTGCTACTCCCAGAAATCCCGGCCAGCAAAGCTAGCAGTGAAGGCTTCTGGGAAATGCAGTCGAAGGACATCTGAGTTACCAAATGTTGAGAACCACTGCTCTGGAGGCTCAGTTACTGGAGGATCTGAACGTTAATCACATTAGAGACTCTTTAGGCTGCTAATTCTCTACCTGGCCCTTCACTAGACATGCAGAAGTCTATGAAACAGCACATCCCCTGAAGCCATCATGCCACAGCAGAGGCTTCCATGCCTGGTAAACCTCTAAGCGTTTCTGCTGTTCCCTTCTCGAGCTCCACCCTCACCAGCATGTTATTTTCCCACTTTATCCTCGGGTGTTCCTACACTTCCCACTCCTTTTGCTAGTTTAGGAACTTTGCTTCGTCAACCTCGGAGGCGACACAGCTAAGGCTGTCACTGAATTTAAAAAAACAAAAAACAAAACAACCTTAGCCAGTTAATTCTAAATTGGCAATTTGTCAGTTAACTAGCTGATCAAATCTATGTAAAATCTGTATATAATGGAAAAGTAAGGAAGTTTTCTGGCATTATAGAGTGGACATTATTTCAGAAGAGGCATCTTCTGCTTTTACTGTACCTCTCAGATAGAATTAAATGCCTTTCCAAAGGTGGTGCTTCTGAATTGAGATGGCCATCCGTGCATAAAAACAAGCACTTCTGAACGATTCAGTATTTGCTGTTCAAACAATCCAAACTAACGGATTAATTGAATCAATACAAACATGGGCCCGTGGCTTGAGCACACGTTGAACTGGTTAATGGTGGACTTTTAGGCTCAGTTTGAAAAGTTGTCATTTAAGGCTTGGCTCCTGCTCGTGGGGCTCCCTGGAAGAATTAGAGATGGAGATGAGCGTGGTATTCTTTCAGAGAGGTGATGGATGTGTCAAGCAGTGGCGAAGTCCTACTACAATCCCAGGGCTGTGGGCTGTGTATTTCTGTAGTGTTCAGAACATCGGTTCCACCAGACATAGCAGAGAAGCAAGAGATCAATTCTTACACAACAGGGAATGATGGCAACTATCAGGATCACCCTTCCTTCTATGAAAAATACATGATGTGTCTCCAGTGAAACAAGGTTTAGAATAGAAGATCACAGTAGAGGAAACCTAATCAGCTGACAATTTTCTTAGCCTGCAAGCTTTTAAAAAAGGAATAAAACACCTCCAGCTTGTAAACCTATTAAGTATTTATTCTCTTATCAGTTAACAGGGTCGATAATGTTTCTTCACAACTACCTGCTACTGAACTAGCAGGACAATTTTGAAGGAATGGCCAACTGCAACATTTCCATGGGCAAAATATTCCCATGCTGCTGCAGCAATTCCATCTGCAGGAGTGGAAATTCAGCAAAGTTCCTTCTTGGTCACAACACAACGGCATTGGAAGAGGCCATTTGGGTGCTCCAAAGCGGGTGTATTTTAGAGAGACAACCCCAGTGGATTAAGAGCTGGCCTCCGGAGACCTGGATTGAAATCCTGCCTCTTCCAGGATATTGTTTAGCCTAATCATAAAGGACGCCGACAATACAGAAGCATTGCTTTATACAGTCAATATCTTTTACGCTGGGGACTCTAGTTCTGTGGGCCACAGAAGGGCTGGCCGAGCATCACCTAACTGAGAATTCTTGCCATGGGCTTAACTGAAATTCGTAAGATAATTTTAAGGAAGTCAAGATAACTGAACTAGCATAAAGGCCAGGTATGGAAGGCTGATACGGTATTTTCCCCAGGCTTGATTAATACCCTTCAGAAAAAGCGTTTCGAGTTATGCTAAAATGCTAGAAGAATGCCAGCAAGAGATTCAAGTCAGCAGAGGGAATTGCCTGGGAGAAACTAAAATACAGCAGGAAAATGTGACAGGGCAAATTATGCAAGGATGAAGGAAGCAACGGGCAGGTCCAGCAGTCAATTCCCACTCCCAGTGCAGACTGCATTACCTCTTCTGCCAAAACCAGAAGTGACTAAAAGATAATTTGCCCTTTTAAAAAAAACAACTTGTTTTTTAACAGAAAACAAAGCACAAATAGATCATGCACTTTGCTTTAAAGGTGAATCACACTCCTTGGAGGCTTCTGGGAGTGTTAGTTTTCTTCCTTTCAGTAGGATACTTCTTTTCAGTGATTGTGAAGGAGCTGGGCTGTTGGCCAAAATGGATGTGGAGCACGTCCCCCAAACCAGCCAACAACAGCACCCAGAGAGGGAACCCATTAATGGCAGGCCTCATCAGAGTTTGATGATGCAGAGAGAGAAAGGAAGGATGACACATTTCTCCTATGCTATCGGACTCTTTAGCATGGTGATCTCCATGTTGTCACCTCTTCAGTCTTACATTACATAATAATAATAATCATCAAGGGTCATTAAGTCATATTCTGATTTATGGCAACCCTTTTGGGAGTTTTCCAGGTAGCAAACATTTCGAAGTGGCTTACCCTTCCCTCCTCCTTCTGGGGGCAGTTCTGGGACTGTGCCGCTGGCCCAAGGCCACCCAGGCTGACTTCCCTTGCAGGAGGCCCGGGGGGCGGGGGGGAATCGAACTCCCAGCCTTTGGCTCTGAAGCCAGAGAGACCTAAACCGCTGAGCTAGCCAGCCGCACTGTTTTTTGCCTTTCGCGATCAGGAGAGGGTTAGCCACATTCTGCCTTTCTTTCTAGACTTTCAACCCAAGCACGACTCACCTCCTCGTTTCGAAGAGGACTTGGAAGACGTTGACCACTGCTTGGTAAGGACTCGCCCCGACATGGCTTCGCCGATATTGCTAGGAGCATCCACTGCTTCGGTGGCTGGAGTTATGGCCTTTGTTTCCACGTCGTTCTCGCCCAGGGAATCTTTGGGAAGGTGCTGTTCTGGTTCGTTTTCATTAAAGCTGTACTGAGCCATCTTCTGTGCCAACATCAGCTGAGCTTCCTTCTCCAGCTGCCGGATATCTTCAATGGTAAGGCCGTACCACTCATCCTGCCAGCACCAAGCCTGCCGGTGCGCTCTTACCATGACTTTCCGCAAGCCTAGGGAGAAAAAGGCAAAAGAAGGAAACTAGCAAGCCAGCAGATACCTCAATAAGAACGGAGGCACCGCAAAGGCATCCAGATTCTTGCCATCCGTTCATTGCTGCCCAACACCGCTCCAGATACTGAACTTCACTATTTTTCTCCTGCTCATTAGCAGACTCTTCACTCCACAATTCTGGAAAAGTGTACATATTTCTTAATACCTCTTTAATATAACCTAAATCTGTGTCCAAACACTGCGTCTGACATCCTGCTTTAGGCTTGTTATTGTTGTTTGGTTTGGAAGTTTCTATCACTCAAAATACCTCTGAAATGGTAAGAGAAACATGCTATTTTGCAAGGGTATCACTGGCTTGCCAGCTTAAATAAGTGAGTGAATTACAACTCAGGCTCCTTGTCTCAAAGCCCCAGTTGGGCGCACGGATTATCAGCTTCTAGTTCACATTTTCCAGACTCTTCTGTTAAGCTGGAACAAGATGAAAGAGCACCAAGTTATGGAGTGGGGGAGATGAGAGAGATGTGAAAGAAATAATCTGCAGGGTGAAACTGAAGAGAGAGAGAGAGTCTTTTTTAACACAAGTGAAGTCAGGGCTATTTGATAGCTTTAAACATCTGTAATCTATGGCTTTTGCAATTTTTTAATTTTCACGGTGTGCTTTTATGCAAGCCGTTAGCTGTTCTGAGCTCCTATGAGAAAGGAACAGGGTATGGAACAAATATATCACAAATATTGACAGTGGCAAGAGTTCTGTTATGCAGACTGCTGTGATTAATCAGATTCCTTCCTTTATTACCATCTACCAATAATTGTTGTTGTTGTTGTTTAGTCGTTAAGTCATGTCCGATTCTTCGTGACCCCATGGACCAGAGCACACCAGGCCCTCCTGTTTTCCACTGCCTCCCGGAATTTGGTCAAATTCATTTTCCACATATACAGCTTAATTCTTTAAAAATTTGCCTTAACAGTCGCTGAGTTAAGTACACACAGCTAGAGCACAGCTCAGAAAAGGAGCATGGCATCAAATACTCACCTACATCGTGAATGAAGCGTTCAATTTTAGACTGCATGCCCCAGTATCTGAATTCCACTTTGCACAGCTTGTAGGCACACATGATGGGCTTTTTCCCAGGGTTGTTTTTGAGCTCTTTGATCCAGTCTTCTGAGAGAGGTCCCCTTGTAGTCTTCACTGACTTATACAGCTTGGGATCCTCCTCCGACTTGTATTCGTGTGGAGGGATGGGATCTTTAACGATATCAATAGGATCTAATTTGCCGGTGGGGTGAAAGAAGTTGAAACGCATCATTAAAACAATATGAAGGTAAACCGCAGATAATGCTTTCTTAAATTTTGCTTTGTTGATAACCGCAGCGCTATAACTTTCTTAGCTTCTTAATGTTTAGACTAAAAGTGCTGGCGTTTAAACAGTTTATACGAATGTGTCAGAGGTTGGCGGAGTTTTCTCTCTCTGGCAAAGCCACAAACAGAATCTCTGCCCCAAGCAGCTGTGCCTTTTTGACTAAGATGGCCAGGAGCGACCTTCCTCTGGGACATGACTCCAGCATCTCTTCTGAACAATGCTATGCTCCAGCATTTTTATCCATAATAGAATTTCAATTGGCCATTTTCAAATATGGCTACTAAGCCCAGAGCAAATTCAAACCAGCCTTTCCCAGGCGTCTCTGTTATATGTGTCAAGCAGACAACGTGGATGAAACATAGGCACCGTCCACCATGGCTATCGCTTGCAGTTCTCTATATTGGTTCCTTGTGCATGCTATGGGTTCTCCATTTACAGCTATATTATTTTGGTTGCTAGCGTCACACTAAACGGCAGCTGGAATGTTCTTCCTTTTAAAATCTTGTTTAACAAACACCTCAATAAGGCAATGGGGGGGGGATTCACAAATGTAGCAGAACTAATTAACGATTCTCTTAAAATGAAGCTGTACGTAGGAACTGGTGTCAGGGGGGGCACTTAAATTTCAGACTGAAAATGAATTTCAACCTCTCTGTTAATTTTCTCAAAGAATTAAGTGCTCTACTGGGTCAAAATGAAGCGGCCTGTGTGCATACACACCACTGTCACGCACAATACATGGAATGAGCAAAGGCATTACTGCTATGCCAGCATTAATCAAGTGTACTTTACAATGAGGGACAGGGACTGTCTAAGCTACAGGGCAGAGATTTGGTTAGCCTACCGTTGTAAAAAGGGCTCCTGCTGTCAAAAATGCTGATTGTGGGCCTCTTACGACACAGACTTCCTTTTCTGCTCATGCTGCTTTCTACAGTGCCATGCAGACCGACAGCACCACCCTGAACACACCCCTGGATCTTGCTTGATCCTGGAAGCTTTGCAGGGTGAGGCCTTGTTAGTACCTGGATAGGAGACCCGTAAGCAACACTCGGGGACGCGGGTAGATTTAGGAAAGAATCCCGGAGAGCCCCCGCTGCTAGTCAGACCTGACAGTAAGGTGTAAGGTAGCTTCCTGGATTCTTAACAGGTCTTATAGTGACTCAGATCATTGGTCCTTCTAGTTAATATTGTCTATCTTGACCCTCCAGTGTCTCAGGCAGAGAGGCTTCTCCCAACCACTTACTGATAAACGTTTTTCCAAAGCAAAGATGCAAGATGTTCGGGACTGATTCTAGGATGTTCTGCACATTAAGCCGGTCCTCTGCCAATTGTATAACTATTTACAATTGTATAACTATGAGACAGAAGTATCAGAAATCAGACCTCCCCAACCTGACATCCTCCTGATTGAATGTACTACAGAACCCATCGTCTCCAGCCATGCTAGCTGGAGATGAAGATCATTCTAATCCTGTACATCTAGAGGACACCAGGTTGGAGAAGGCAGAAACTTAGAGAGAGAAACAGACAGACATATATGGACCACACACAGTGACACAAAATACACACACACACACAGAGAAGGGAGGATAAAAAGACAGGAAGAGGGGGGAACAAATATTCACCAATAACTGTCTGCCTTTTCTCTGCGGGGGAAAGGTTGAATACGTTGGCTTGCTCTCCTGAGTCAGCTATATAATAGGTTTCAATATCAATAGAGAATTTTTCCACAAATGGGCAGGTGTACCTGGAAAGAAAAAAAAAGAGAGCAACAGGGCAGCTGAGATTAAAGGTCTCCTCACACCAGAGTGCTAAAAAAAAACAAAGGACACCCGCTGTAGGTGTTGTATACAATCAACGCAGAGGCTTTCAAAAGAAAACAGAAACAAAACAAAAAAACTCAGAAACTGATGGTATAAACACAGAATTCATTAATGCCTTGGTTTCCATAAGGCGAAGAACGAGGCATTACGAACATGGCAAAAAAACTAGGTATTATTTTTTAAATAAAAAGAAAATCAGGCAAGTTTGCTGCCCTAGAAGTGCTGACTTGGAGAGTGCTCTATGCTAAAAGAAAAAAAAAGCTGCTTTGAGGGTTAGATACAGCTAAATGCTTAAAACAAGCAAACCGCTAGCTAAGAAAAAAATGCTGGGCTGAACGGCCACATCGCTTCGTCTTCCAGATTTGCTGTCTGCCATGAGTACAAGCAAGAGGAAAGGAATCAGCCGCAGGAGGGAGGGTGGTTGCTGAATGGGTCCCTCCCGCTTTTCCACATCATGAAATGGGAATTGTCATTACCTCCTTCCCAGGTCTGTTGTGATAGATGGCCAAGGTCTATTTTAGAAAAACCGTTCTGTGCATTAAATGGCCAAGGGAAATATCAAAGGTGTGAAGGGATTTACCTTGTCCTTGTATAAGGATACGCGTTCCATGATTCCTCTTCGACTCTTAATGCTGCCTTTGGCAGGATAGACCGAAACCAACTGGGGATATGCATACCAATATGGTATACTTTATGGGTATACTGTCCATTGCCACCAGGACCGTCTGTGTACGGTCTGTTTTCCAAAATCTCCACTCCGCTGCCTTCTCCGCATGTCTCTTCGCGACTCTTTTTCTGAAACAACAACCAGCGCCACCAAAGATGATGAGTCCACAGGGCCAGGACTGTTCTCCTCGAAGCCGGCAGAGACTCGTGCATGGCTACTCACATTGCGGAGAGGAAGAACGTGATGAAGACCTGCTTCCAGCCCCTCCTGAATAACCTAAGCTGGCCAGAATTTCAGTGACTTCACTTGAAGGATGACCAGCTCTAGATCCAACCCCAGGTCATAGTTCTTTTCTTCAATCCCCACCAACTTTTGATTTGCATTTCCTAAGTGCTCTTGAGAAGCTGCCACTTAGGGAATTAAAGGCGAGGCCAAGATTAACGTTATTAGTGGACTGAAAAAGACATTTCAGCAAGAAAACATAGCAAAAAAAGAAATTCCCATTTAACAAAAAGAGTGATTAATACCACACAGAAGATGTGAGTCTTTGACTGAGGGCAAGGAGGCAAGAAAACGGCTAGGAACTGCACCCTCATTAGAGCTGTGAATTTGAAACAGAATTAACTTGCCCTCCATTAATATACAGTGGTGCCTCGCTTAACGAGTGCTTCGTTTAGTGATGAATTCGCTTAGCGATGACTTTTTCAGAGCGATCTTGCGCTCCGTTTAACGATGTTCCCTATGGGCGATTTTCATATAGCGATCTTTGGGACCATGCTTCGCATAGCGATAACAGTTTGGGTCCCCCTGTTTCACTTAATGATGGTCTTGACAGCCTCATGTTGGCTGCTTTTTATATGTTTAAAAATGTTTAGAATGCTTGAAATCATAAGTGCACTTAATACACTAATTTGTTAAACTAACTTGACTTTGTTCCGACTCTTTTTAAATTTGTTGTAATTTTACCCCCATTGAGATGCACTGAATAGGTTTCAATGCAGTTCAACTGGGGAACCGAGTTTCGCTTAGCGATGTTTCCTATGGCAATTTTCGCTTAAGGATGGCAATCCGTTCCCATTGGAATGGATTATCCGGTTTTCAATGCATTTCCATGGGAAACCGCATTTCGCTTAGCGATGTTTCCTATGGCAATTTTCGCTTAAGGATGGCAATCCGTTCCCATTGGAATGGATTATCCGGTTTTCAATGCATTTCCATGGGAAACCGCATTTCGCTTAGCGATGTTTCCTATGGCAATTTTCGCTTAAGGATGGCAATCCGTTCCCATTGGAATGGATTATCCGGTTTTCAATGCATTTCCATGGGAAACCGCATTTCGCTTAGCGATGTTTTCCCATAGTGATGATTTTTTTGGAACCAATTAAAATCATTAAGCGAGGCACCACTGTATGCAGTTTCCTTACATGAGTCACACTAGACAATGGTAGCAAGGAAGGAGCTGTAAACATTTTCGTGAGTGCCAATACTGGAATCCCTCTCTTGTAAGCCACTGCGGTTGAGATAAAACACTCTTTCATTCTTTGGAAATCTCCTCTGTACCCACATCTCTGCCAGCAATCTGCAAGGCATGGCATCTGGGCCTCTTGCAAAGAATTCAGGGAATGCCCCCTCGTGACTCCAGAGGGACAAGGGAAGGACAACTCACCCCCGAAACCGAACCCTTATGGAGGAGGGGAGGGCTCCACGCCTCGTCTCTGCCACTCCCCCCTCCAAGGCTTAGCAGAGGTCACCTCAAGAGTTGCTAATCTAAGAGCAGGAGAGAAGGCCCCAGGGGGAGAGGTCCTCCCATCAGATTGCAAGAGAGATCTGGAAATGTTAAAGGCAAATTACGTCTAAGCCGCCATCATACCAACTCCTCTTATATTGTATGGCAACAGAACATCTCATCATCCCCTTTAGAACTTCTCCCCTTGTTGCCAAGAACACTGGGCTTTCTAGAGGCGACTCGAGGGGACAGATCGTGACACCGATCCCTCCCAATGCAAAAGCAGTGGCCTCCGATTAGTCGTCATGGGGAATCCACGGATGTGGGGGTGCCATTCCCAAGGTTGCTAAGCCACATGGGTGTTGTAGTGCTCATTGCCTGAACCCAACACAGGGAAGCAGATACATTATGATTAGCAAGAACAGCAGCTCTTTAAAAGGCTTTAAACCGAAATGAAACGCATAGTGAGTGGCGCAAACACGGGACATGACGCAGCGCATGACCAGGCCAGAGGAGTTGTGGAAATAAGAATTCCAACCCATGTCACCAAAGTAGGGTGACCTTTTCTCTCCGTTCATCCTCGACACTTCGAAGCCGAGAATTTTAAGCAGGCACAGAACAACAGCTGGGGGGGGAAAAGAAGGCTGAGCTACAGACTCAACAGATCACCCTCAGTCACCCTGCCAGTGTTACATGAGCAGGTCAGCGAAGGGAAGCTAGAATTATGCCAGCCCTTCTGGCAAATGGCAGGAGAGCAATTAGGGTTTTATAAAGCTGCCAATCGCAGCTTCCCCGAACACATCTACACACCCCTAAATTATGCATCGGTGCAACTGTCACAGATGGTGATCTACAGCTTGCTTGCTCACAGCTCGGTGGAAGCGCTTTCCTATCTAGAGAGCCTGAAAGATGACGGGAATAACTTCCCGAGTTTATTTTGCAGCAAGCGCTCCCAATTTCAAAAATTCTTCACGCTGAGATTGATATCCCAGCATTTTTATAAAGCCAGTTAAGGGCAGTTGACGAAAAACTGCAATTATGGCAAACTTGTTGCTATGTTACTTCTCTTTTGACAGGTACGTTGCAGGAGTGAAGATTAAGAGAATGCATTCTGTGAACGAGTGGACGTCAGATCGAGACTCGGGGAGGAACTGTATGTGTGTACATGCACAAACGTGTGTGAAGTTCGTCCCAGCAGCAATGCAATTAAACACTGGAGAGGATGATGGGGGCCAGGAAAAGAACAGAATGTTTCAGCCACTGGTCAGCAGAGCAAGCAGTTTCAGCCCAACAAGATCCTAGCTGCAGTGTTTACACTTTGCAGCCACCAACTCTGTCATTTCTGGTAGATCTATTTTCTGACACAAGGTATGTGGGGTTTTTCCCCCTTCTAGAACGACAAACAGATACACGCACAAACACATACATTCCCTTCCTCCTGGGTAAATAAAAACGGCCGGGGACCCCAGTGACGAGGAAGAACTCTGCATGCTTAAAAGGGGCCTGTTTCCTATTTTTGCTTCCCAAACTTCACTGCCTCCCAAAGACAGAAATATGTTCTGCACAATACACACACATCTCCCTATTGCAAACAGCAATTTCTAGCCCCTGTCAACTTTGCTCACTTATTACTGCAATTACTCAATGACAAAACATGGTGATTGCATATGAATACACGAGAGAACGATGTCCAGGCTAGATGGAAGTGAAGCATAAAGGAAAAGCCAGGATTCAATATTTATGAAGAGAGGCAAATAAGGCTGACTGTATTAATTTTGCCACATGAGACAGTGTAATATAATTTATCTATTAATTAAAGGTTATGGTTTTTGATGGGTGTTGTTTGTCCTGTTTGTTCACGAGATTAGGACCCAGATAACTCTGTTTAGAAATACACTTTTAAGAAAAAGAACCAACCTAGGTGTACCCCTCAAAAAATGTTTGAAGGGGCTTTTAAAAGATCTGGGTTCAAGATGAAGGATTCTCTCTCAGTACTTCCAGAGGACTAGCCACACTAGCCAACTGTTAACAACAAGAAGAATCTTGGGTAACCTTAAAAATTAAATGGTTTTACTGGGGTTAAACTTTCATAGCCTGTACCCCATTTTGCCTGATGCATTTCATATTCAAGGACTGATCACACAGCAGTTTGGAAATAACAGAGAGGCAAATTGCTTAGCAGCAGAAGGTCGTGCATAAAAGGTTTGAAACTCAGACTCTGACATTTCTGCCTTATATCAATAAATAAAAGATTATGTGGTGGGATATTGAAAAATTCTGGCCACTTGAAGTTGATCGAACTGAACACAGGTTGGACAACAAATTGACCCAGTACAGGGTAACAATAACTCCTTATGTTCTCGGGGGCATATTTTGAAATGAACTTAAATCAGCCCATGAGCTAGGCAGGAGGGGGGGAAAAGACAATGAAATTCTGGCAAGGTGAACACAAAGGAAGGAAGCAACACAAAAGTTTAAATCACAGGGAAGCAGAACGCCCTAGAAAGATTTAGAGGCATCTTAAGTTATGTCAACAAAAGTATTTTTCCACAACAGTTTTAGGAAAACAAATCGTACTGCTCTGAAAAGCACGTCTTCTGATCAGACACGTGTTAAAAACAACTTAACAAATGGAAAATAAATCCAGTTACCAGAACTTCACACCGACTTCTTTCAGCTATCCTACAATTAAGAGACAACAGAACTAACCTACCGTACCACTTATCTAATTGCTAATTTGATGCAACTTTGTTTCCAAAGCACCTAGACAAATGGGCAGCGCATTATGTAGCATTACATCATCTTTGGTCTGGTTAGGAAACTAGAGAGGAGTTACATTCAGAGAGGCTTGGGCTGCTTTTATAAGCTTTCCTGCCCATCTGTTGACTTATTTAGCATGTTTATATCTCCAATTTTATTTCCACCACGAAACTCAAGGAAATGTAGATGGCCTTCCCAGGTAGCCTTCCATCTAAACACTGAGCAACTCCGGACTAGTCTAGGAAAGGTGACTACAGTATATACTTTTTACTTGGATGATGCCCTGAGATTTACCAGCCCGGCTCTACACGATATAGAAATCATTTGGTACAGGCAGTATCGCTTGGAAAGCAGAATAAAAAACCAATTGAAATGAAATAGCATCTCGTCCTCTCCCAATAAGAACTTTTGACTTGCTCTTTTTCAACCACCTACTCAGGATCCAATAGCAAAGAAAATCGCCAACTGGTTGTGCATCAAAAACAGCTTGCTGATAATGAATTCCCACAGAGCTTTTACTTCCAGTTAAAAAGAAATGAAACAAGGGCCTTTTTGTCAAGAGTTCCACAATCTGTGCCAAGCGTCCACACAAAACTGTTCCCTTCGGAAGCAAAGCACACAAAGACTGGCTGCCTGCCTGAA